ATGCTATATGTATAACTAACCTGAGCTATTAAAATTTCACCAAGAGCGCAATATAGGCACATATGTGTAAATAAATTTATAACGACAGAGAAGAAATATATTAAATGAGTGATCGACATATCATTTCCTTTATCAAATAGCTAATTAATTTATAAAATAAATGAAAAAAATTAATTTTCTTAATAACATTAATTTAGAATTTTAAAATAGTATTACATAGATATAGTAACTTTTTATTAAAATTGAATATCTGTTAATTTAATATTAATATATCTTTTACTAAATATTATTTATTAATTTAAGCAAACTTTTTTAAATAAGTTCTTATCCAAATTTAAATACTTACACTGATCATCCGAAATCCAAAGAATGCGAAGAGAATTGCATGATATATAAATAAGGAGAGAAGTATTATATTATATGTATCTTCAATAACATCAATAGTTCTATTAAAAGATATTTAATGTACTAATATATTTTACATGTTTTACATAAATTCTACTTCTATATACCCATATATTTTCTTATAAATAACATACCTAAGCAAACGGTTATGATTTGCTATGCAACATTTTAGCATTTTATGATAATTCATGTATTTATTTAAACGTATTAAACGATTTTTTAGAATGTCTAATTGACCGCATACGTGAAAAATTAAAAGACTTAAAAAATTATCTATTCCAGAATAGGCTATCATGGCAATTGCTGCATATATGACTTGACTAATAAATGTCAGTTCATAATGCGGCCTTTTTGTTATATCATAAATGTAATGAGTTTGTACTGGCAATAGTTTTCCTGGATCAGTAATATTAGAAGTTAGTCTTATTGACATTCCAAAAATTGGCAATATTGTGATGAAGAACCACGCTAATGCCATTATACAATAAGAACAAATAGAAATTATACGAGCATTCTGCGCTCTTTGGATCATTATGCTTCTCTCTTGGTCACTTTTTAATGTCATCCAATCCTTCATGATCATATTCATAATTGATATATTAGCTTAAAAATAAACATTTTTATATATAATAATTTTACAGCGCTGCTGAATTAAAATATATTAAGTTTAAATAGTAAAAGATTTAAAAAAGAAAACATGAAAATAATATCACTATTTTCGTGTTCCCTCAAGAAAAATAATATTACAATTTTTTTAAATCAATAAAATTGATAATTTTGGAATGTACTAATCTTATTATACATTAGATATCACACAAAATCTGTTATTTATAAAAAGTAAATATTTTATCTCTATATGAATATGTGTGAATATTTATATGCAAACATGTAGATTTAAAATAATGTAATATTTTATAATCTTCTACAATATTTTTATAAATTAGCAAAATTAATTTTGTCACAAAAAAATCTTATTTAAAGAAAAGATACACATTTAATTCTCTTTAATTCTAATAAATCATAAATATATATATATATATATATATATATATTTGGAGTATGGATTAATTTTAAGGAATTTTTTGGTAAAAATACGGCTTTATTGTGAAAAAATGATTACAAATTGATCATTCAAAATATTATCCATCTCGCTAGTGATTACTTTTTCTCATCTTTCTGATAATAGATTGATTCCACATTGAAAGAATACATCTTTT